ATAATTAATATTATATCAAATTATATTATATTATAATTAAGGAATAAGAAATTAAATTATACTAATGGAAATATAATATTTAAAAATTTTTATCAACATTTTTACTTATTGTATTTATATTTTATAAAATTAAATGATAATAATTAATGTTTAACAAATTAACTTTCATAATTTTTTAATTAATTATAAAGATGAATTAAATTAGGTAGATTGTTAGTTGGTTAAAAATGTAATTATATATATTATTGTAGCATATGTAATTTTAAAAGAATAAATGCTAATTTTGATCCTCAATTTTAAGATTTTACATAATTTTTGTCCCTTGTCTTTTTTTTTACTCATTTTGGTCCCTCAATTATGAGTAATTTGCATTTTTAGTCCTTTTATCAATGTACTAAAGAAACTTAATTGAAAAAAGAACTAAAAATGTACATTAATTATATTTGAAGGACCAATATGAGCAAAAAAAAAAGTTGAGGGATGAAAATTATGTAAAATCATAAAGTTGATGGACCAAAATTGATATTTATGATTCTAGTGCTTGTTATAAAATATTAAGATATTATTGAATTTTTAAGGCATGTACTACTTAATTATGGAAGAAGATCAGAGTTGGATGTATCGTTATCAAGATGAAATGGGGTATTGGAACAATGAATTTAATGATGGGGTAGAGATTTTCTTAGATTTTGCATTCTCACAAATGGACTCGATGTTTTGTGCTATGAATATGATTCGGTGTCCGTGTAGTAAGTGTTGGAATAAAGAATGGCATCATCGACGCAAAGTGCAATCTCATCTTATTAAGAATGGCTTTATGGATGGGTATTTTATTTGGAAAAGACACGAAGAAATTATTCATAGAAAACGGCTTTGCACCCAAGTGGGTGAATCATCAAGTGCCACCGCTGCTGCTGCTATGAATAATGTGTTGTACCTATGATTTTGATGATTACAAAACACATTTAAGTGACTAATTGGTTTATTTAAGTGTGTAGTTAAGTTGCTAAAAGATTGCAAGTAAACTTGGATTGCACTAAAAATAGACCAAAAGGATTCAAAATGGCAGAGAGTCGGCTCTTAAAAGCTGCAGCCAGCTCTGGTGAAATGGAAGTGCAGATAGCCGGCTCTGGAAGCTGCAGCCGGCTCTACGGGCAAAAATTTCAAGACCGTTGCTTGGCGCGCTCGAAGAAAAAACGCAAAGCCGGCTCCAACTTTATAGCCGGCTGTGAGAGTGCATTTAATGCACAACGGTTGACTTATTTGAAGAATATTTGATGTATTTAAAGTCGGAGTTTCAAAGCCAGCTCAAAGTCTTGCAGCCGGCTCTCAAGAAAAACAGAATAGGCTGCAAAATCGAATAGTTGGCTCTCCTGACAATCCTGCAGGTCGAGCTTTGTGTCCTGCAGAGCATTTAATGACCCCCAACGGCTAGAAACGGCTATTTTCGAGCAAGGGGCTATAAATATGGTTGGTAACAGATTTAAAGAAGTTTGGAGAACATTATATTGAATATCTTTGCCCACCAACTTGTGCTTTAACTAGAGATTTTAATCTTTGAGAGATCTTTGTTTGTAATCCTCTTCTTGTGCTATTAGTGAGTGATCTTGGGGGTGTGTTGATTCCTTCAAGAGTGATCTGTAGAGAGGATCTTTGGGGTTTATCTTGTAAAGGGGTGAGATTTGAGAGAAACACCCTTATTCTTGTAAAAGGATTGAGTGGCTCCTTTAAGCCACCCTTGTTGTTGTTAGTGGAGAGTGTGGAGGAAATCCTTGGTGAGTAAAGCCAAGGTAGAAGACTAGACTCCAAGTGGTTGGACCGAACCTCTATAAATCATTGAGCAAACTCTTCTTCTCTACTCTCTTTAATTTGGGTGTTGTGGTTGCAAAAAGGGGAGAATTTTTAGAACTCCAATTCACCCCCCCTCTTGGAGTACATTAAGTCAACAATTGGGATCAGAGCAAGGGCTCCAATTTGAAGGTTTAACCACCTAGGAGTTGATCAAGGATGGCTCAATTTCTATCTTCTCAACCACTTGAAGGTTTGTCTACCACTAGACCTCCTTTCTTTGATGGGACTAACTATAATTATTGGAAGAATAGGATAAAGGTCTTCATGCTTGTAAATGTGCCCACGGCATGGATTGTGACCATAAAAGGTCCATATGTACCTATGAAAGTTGTTGGAGAAAGAGAGGTGCCAAAGGAAGAAGTTGAATGGAATGATGAAGACTTGGGGAAGATCATGATCAACAACAAAGCAATCAACATGCTTCAATGTGCTCTCAATCCAATGGAATTCCATAGAGTATCCGGATGTGATACGGCCAAGGAGATGTGGGACATGCTAGAAGTCACTCATGAAGGAACAAGCCAAGTAAAGGAGTCAAAAATCAATAGACTCATTTACATGTATGAGCTTTTCAAGATGAAACCGGAGGAAAGCATTCAAGATATGTATACAAGATTGAATGACATAGTCACCAATCTCAAGGCTCTTGGTAAAGTCTATCCTCCTCAAGAAGTGGTGAGAAAGGTTCTTAGAAGCTTGCCTAAGAGTTGGGAAGCTAAGAAGACGGCAATTGAAGAATCTAAGGATCTCAACACTCTCAAGCTTGAAGATCTCATTGGTAAATTGATGACATATGAGATAGAAGTGCAAGGTGATGGTGGAGTTGAAATAGTTGAGAAGAAGAAGAAGGATGTTGCGTTCAAGGCTGGCAATCAAAAGGAAAAGAGTGAAGATGATGCTAGTGATGGTGAAAACATCTCCACCTTGATCTCTAGAGAAGTGAGGAAATTCATGAAGAAGAACATCAAGAGCAAGCTTGCAACAAGAGATGAAGGAGAGTCTACCAAAAGGAGTGTGAAATGCTATGAGTGCAACAAGATGGGGCACTATAGAAATGAATGTCCCAATTTGAAGAAAGGCAAGAAGAGCATGAAGAAGAAAGCTTTTACTGCCACTTGGAGCGATGATGAAACTAGCTCGACGGAAAGTGAAAGCTCCTTGGAGAAAGGTGTTGCAAATCTTTGCTTCATGGCTCAAGAGGATAGCAACAATGATGAGGAGGTAAACTCTAACTTTTCTAGTTCAATTAATGAAAGTTCATTTGAGTACTCTTATGATGATTTATGCAAAGTTCTTAATTGCTCTATGAATGACATTAAGAAACTAGGAAATGATAATATTGCTCTTACTAAAACCATTTCATTGCTTAGGAATGAGATTGAATCTCTCTCAAAACAAAATGAGGTTTTAATTAAAGAGAATGCCTCTTTAAATGGTGAGATTACTTCTTTAAAAAATGAGGAGTCTAATAATGCTTTGAAAAAGGAAAATGAGGATTTAAAGAAAGGAAATGAAGATTTAAAGAAGGAAAATGAGGTTTTAAAGAGAAAAGCTTGTGATCTTGAGAATGTGATTTCTAAATTTACCTTGAGTAAAGAAAAATTTGATTCTATTTTAAAATCTCAAAGAAATGTTTATGACAAAGGGGGCATTGGATTTGATTATTCTAAAAAGCAAAAGACTTTTAAGACTACTTTTGTAAGAGCAAGTCAATCCTATCATTCTAATGTTACTTGCTATTATTGTGGTGCAAATGGACACTTTGCCTATGTATGTCCTTTGAAGAGATTGATAGCTCAAGGTAAAGTGAAGCCAATTTGGATTCCAAAAGGAACTTTAAGCACTAACCCTCATGGACCCAAGCAAATTTGGGTACCAAAAATCAAAACTTAATTTTGTTTTGTAGGTAAAGTTGATGGCAAAGTCAAAAGAAGAGTAAAGTTGATCTTGATAAAGACTTATGCCTCAACAAGAATGTTGGAGTGAAAGTGCCAAGAAATTTGCTTTTGAATGCTCCACTCATGTGCTCAAATTGGTATTATTTATTTTATTGCATTTATTCATTGAGTATAATTATTTCAATAATTAATTGGTATAATTATTTTATTGCATTTATTCTTGAAATTAATGAATTTGATTATTAGAATTTGTGTATATTGATTTTTTGATTTGTGTACCTTGATTATATTCATGCTATTTGATGATGCATACATTGATATATGACTAAAGTTGCATTATTTAGTAGTGGATGTCCAATTTAAACTTAGTTAAATGAAGAGATATCAAATTAAGGTTCATTCCCTTCAAAACAGCCCCAAACTTTCTGTTTGTCCCAATCAAGGCCAGTAGAGCCGGCTCAACCAAAAACCCGAGAGTATTCTCTCTCTACAGCACAGCCGGCTCTAGCTTCACAGCCGGCTCTAGCTTCACAGCCGGCTCAACCCAAAAAGGCCGAGAGTCTTCTCTCTCTAAACCTCAGCCGGCTCTAGGTTCTCCAGCTGGCTCAACCACAGGCGACCCGACCCGGACCCGCTCTACAGCAGGCTCTGTAATTATAGCCGGCTCTCCTGCAGAATTTTTAAAGCCTCAGGTTTCTCTCTCCCCGCACAAACCAACCGAGATCTGTTTCAAACCAATGACCTTCCTCTCCCAAAACTCGCCATTCACTCTCCCAAACACCCAAATCCCTCCAAATCTCCAAAACCCATCCCTTAAACACTCAAATACCATCAAATCCTTGCCTACCCAACACAAAACCTCAAGCTTTTCACTTCAATTTGTGTGGGATCTGCTGTATTTTTGGTGTGGCTAGTATTTTTGTTGGGATTTCTCTCTCATGGCTTCAAGAAGGGCTGGAAGTAAAAGGAGACAAGTGGGTAGTTCTAGCACTGGTGGTCAAGCTCAAGAAGAAGAAGGTAACATCTCCCAATTAAATCTCTTTTTGGATAGCCAAGCCTCTGCAAAGTATGAAAGTATCAAGAACATGGCTGTTTTATCTTGCAATTGTGTAAAATTCAGTCAATTTCCTCAAGGAGATATGCGTGTTGAACAAATTTTTAAAGAACTTGGGTGGAAGGATTATGTAGAAGTTAAAGAGCATGTGTATTATGAAGTTGTTCATCAATTTTATGCTAATTTGAAACCAAGAGGGAATAAATGCAAAACTATGGTTGCTGGGGTGTCATTTTAGTTTTCTCCAAAGGATATTTGTGTTGTATTAGATATACCTGAAGGAGGAGATGATGAGTTTCTAGATGTGAATCATGCCTTAGTTAGAGCCACAATTGTCCCCAGTTGCACTGAAAATCAAATTAAAGTGGGGTCTCTTTCACCATAAAATAGAGCATTGCAGTGGATTATATCTCGCATTATTGCTCAGAGGAAGGGTTCTAAATCTTATGTTCTTGCTAGTGATCTTCCCTGGTTTGACTATCTTCTTAACAGAAAAAGGGTGAACCTAGGAAGATACATTTTCCGGAGCATAATTAAGCCTTACTCACCAACTACGGGACTTCCTCATGGTGCTCTAATTACTAGATTGGCGAAGTGGAACAATATTGATCTGACATCCTTTAGGTTCGGAACAATTCCCGGTGGGACTACACTTACCAAAGCTTCTTTTGAGAAAATGGATTGTTTGTTTAGAAATGGCATTTGGATAAAGAAAGGGGAACAATAAGGGGATGAAGAAGAAGGTGATACAGATCAAGAAATGGCAGAACAAGGGGCAGAAGAACATGAAGATGACAGCCCAAGACCATTTCGAGCCTCCATGCAAAGAACTAACCGTGAAACCATGGAGTTAATTATATTTGAGATGCAGCAGCTACACATCGACTTTTATGGTTTCCGGACAGAAATGAGAGGGAGAATGACTAACGTGGAAGGAAAGCTTGATCGGCTTGTTAACCATTTTTTTCCTCCACCCCCACCTGATGCCACCTAACTTGATATTTCTTTAGTTTGGCTAATATTTAGGATGGACATCTTAGGGTTATGCATTTTATGTTTTATTTGACTATGGATATGTGTTGAACCTTTTTATCTTGTTTTATGAATGGAAATGGCATCACTTGTGTTATCATGCTTTGTGAATGGTTGTTTATGATTTTGATGATAATATGCTCTTATTGAGGGGGAGTTTATTAGTTGATGAGTGTATTCATAACTTTGGTGCTATATTGATGATTATATTCATACTCTTAATGCTTTAAAGGTTGATAGCATGAATTAAGGAGGAGTTTGTTGATTATGTGCTTTTTGATGAATGACAAAAAGGGGAAGAAGAATATGCTGAATTTAATGTCATTTTCTAGAGTATCTTTGTGCTGAGATTCTAGCTAATATTGAAGTATATATGTGCTTTATCTTTGTGCTGAAATTCTGGGTAATATTGAAGTGTATATGTGCTTTCATTAATTCATTCTCAAAGTGTTTTGTCATCATCAAAAAGGGAGAGATTGTTGTACCTATGATTTTGATGATTACAAAACACATTTAATTCATTCTCAAAGTGTTTTGTCATCATCAAAAAGGGAGAGATTGTTGTACCTATGATTTTGATTATTACAAAACACATTTGAGTGACTAATTGGTTTATTTAAGTGTGTAGTTAAGTTACTAAAAGATTGCAAGTAAACTTGGATTGCACTAAAAATAGACCAAAAGGATTCAAAATGGCAGAGAGCCGGCTCTTGAAAGCTGCAGCCAGCTTTGGTGAAATGGAAGTGTGGATAGCTGGCTCTAGAAGCTGCAGCCAGCTCTACGAGCAAAAATTTCAAGACCGTTGCTTGGCGCGCACGGAGAAAAGACTCAAAGCTGGCTCCAACTTTATAGCCGGCTGTGAAAGTGCATTTAATGCACAACAGTCGACTTATTTGAAGAATATTTGATGTATTTAAAGTCGGAGTTTCAAAGCCGGCTCAAAGTCTTGCAGCCGGCTCTCGAGAAAAACAGAATAGGCTGCAAAACCGGATAGCCGGCTATGGAAGTGTAAGCCGGCTCTAGAATGTTAAGCCGGCTCTCCTAACAATCCTGCAGCTCGAGCTTTGTGTCCTGCAGAGCATTTAATGACCCCCAACAGCTAGAAACAGCCATTTTTGAGCAAGGGGCTATAAATATGGTTGGTAACAGATCTGAAGAAGTTTGGAGAACATTATATCGAATATCTTTACCCACCAACTTGTGCTTTAACTAGAGATTTTAATCTTTGAGAGATCTTTATTTGTAATCCTCTTCTTGTGCTATTAGTGAGTGATCTTGGGGGTGTGTTGATTCCTTCAAGAGTGATCTGTAGAGAG